AGAGAGAGAGAGAGAGAGAGAGAGAGAGAGAGAGAGTTCTGAAAATATCAAAAGAACCGTAGTAGTGCTGCCGCATAATTTTAATATGCCGAATTTTGTATCCCGATATGTTCATTTGTTCGCCGATGCTGGAAACTGCCATCGATGTGACGGAATGAAGGATACCTGACATCACCGTTATTGCATAATTATGCAAATTATAAACCCCCGCCGATCGACAATCATATGGATGTTTCGATTGGCATAAAAGTATTCAATATATATTTGAATATCGAGGATGAAAATATGAAACGGGTTAAATCAAATTTATTCTCTTTCGTGTGTTGCAACATTACCTGTCATATACCGAGTCTGTGGCATGCCGAGCAGTTTGCAGTGCTCGTATCAAAATGCGTCATATTCATACAACGATAGGCTATCGAGTGTCAGCACACTTGGTCGGCATTTAATTTCAGCTTCAAAGCCCTCGCGCTTGATACTGCTCTCTTTTCGGTTTTTACAAATGGCTAAATCTTGCTCCAAATATTTTACACATTCAATTCAAAAACTGACAATCGCGATCTCTGTTTTTTAATCGATTTTTGTAAAATAAATATTTTAATTAATAATGGGAAAAAATAAAAAATTATGACGGCAAAGTTGAATTTGCAATGCGATGAAAAATATTTTTTTTTGTTGAAACTTAACATTTCCTATCCATTTTTGTCCCCGAATAATCGACACCCGCGTTTTTCAATTATTATAAATTTAAAAAAGAGCTCAGTCGATTTATATTATGCATATTTTCTTTACATTTAATCGATAGATTAATGCAATACACCGTGACGCGCGCGATGTCCGTTATGGAAAATGATCGCGAAAACCGCGTGTACATCCGCACAAATACATACTCCCGTGCATCGTCTGTGTCGGGAGCGTTCGTGTTTTTGCGGAGTCGTGAAAGGCTCGAGTCTCTCGCGCGTGGAGAACGAGTGGAAAACTCATCGGTATGGGTTGGTGTCGGTGCCGCAAAGCGGGGGACAGTTCGCTTTAGGGGTTGCAAGGGGGTAGATGCGTCGGCGTGTTGCGCCGTAGCTTTTGCCGCGGCGCCTGGCAGTCCATTGGCGAAGCCCTAACGAGCAGCGGGCGAGAGCGGAGCATTCCCACGGAAAGATTCATAAGAACTCGAGCGAGCGAAAGTGGACGTGTGTTTTTTTTTCTCGCGCGTCGATCCAATTTTTTTCGACACACGCCGCTCCAGTTCCGCGGCGACGATCTGTCATCCCTGCCGGTGTGTCACGATATATTTTACGTCGCGTCGTAGTAAATAAGCGTCTCGCGGAACCAAATACGTAAACACGAGGGATTCTTCTTCGTGCGAACTCTTGAGACGGCGCTGTGAAGTGATTCGCGCGATTCGTATGTCGTTCGGAGACGGACGGAAAATTTGAAAAACGGTGTTTTTCGACCCGGAATCCTCGATGAACGAGCATCGTGAAATTTTAGTGCTTCGGACCTCGAATCTGTCAACGACATGTGATCGTACACGAGAGAAAGGAAGATAAATCGCGCGTGATTTGCACGCCCGATTTCGAACTAATCGCTTTTCACATCGGTCGCCGTGGTTCGTGGAGTGATCGTAAAAATTGGAATAAGTTTTATTAAATTGCTAATAGACCGGATGCTGCTCTCTTCCTTCTTTTCTTCGTTCAGTACGTAAACGTAATAATTATGTTTCATTTTATATATTTTAAGGAAAATGACAAATAGACATTAAAAAGTTTGAAAGAATTTTGTGTTTAAAAGACAATCTCAAATTGTTATTTCATCTTTTCATGTAATTTCAATGAATTTATTACTTTGTTCGCACTTTCAAGATTATGCCCGATGAATTTTATATCCTTTGTAAAGTCTGATGGCGCGTCGTATGATGGCATCATCATACATAATGCAGGAAATTGCGAGATTAAACGCAATAATTAATGATATCTTGTGTAAATATATTTATCCGTGAGAATAAATGGATAAAAGATGATTAGATGTCACGATTGAAATTTCTGTGATGACGAATGTACGTGAGTTCTCTCTTGTCGGCGTGTGACATAATCTTACCGCACGGCTAACCCGCGTCACGTTGTTAGTCTCGGATTAAAAACTGTACACCGGTCATCGCAAAAGTAGGACACGTCCGGTCCCGCCCTTCGTAGCATTATCTGGTTCGGTCGAGGAGCAAAGAGAGGAGATAGATAGAAAAAAAAAAAAGCAAAAAAAAAGAACGAAAAATGCACATGAAATTACGCGGAGAGAGATCATATGAGCTCCGTGACATGACTCGCACCATCGATTGTGCAATGGGATTGACATTACGAATGCAGAAATTTTCTGCGCCAGACGGCGATAGATTTTTTATGACTTTCATCGAGAGCTATGTTTTTTTTTTCTTTTCACGGCGAGCGATGAAAGAGCCAAACGTTGGTTGTTATTTAAATCTCACATGCAATTATTATTATTATCGATAATATTATCGATTATATATTCATCGGAAATGAGAATTTATTGATAAATTAACGATTCGAAGGAGTGGCAGGTATCTTGTTTACGTTTCTACAACGTTTAATGCCACTTAATTTACTTACATTGAAATGAAATTCGATAACAGTTAGTTTGCTCGAAAATGTTCGATGTTGTAAACATCATTAAAGCAGCAGTTTTCGGTATGTTTAACGTGTGCTTCGTGCCGCTTAGAACATGAACGAGAGCTTTCATTCGTATAATTGGATAGATGCAGAAATTTCCTTTCTGCTTATATTTTTCTCATTTCGATCGTTATTTTTTTAAATATTTGTAATGTGTGTATGCATTTGCATATAATCTCCTCTCTTAGTTCCAATTTACACGTAAAATATGAAATATACATAACGGAATGTCCCTATTTCATACAATAATTTCTAGATAATAACGTAATATATATATATATATCTGTTTTTGAAAAATTTAGCCGATTGATTCGCGCGTCAAGAAATTCTTGCGCCGTTCCAAACGACTGATCCATTCGCGAAATTGTAAATCGGTGGTGCGCCGGAATTGTTTCGACACATTGAACCGTGATTTCGCGCGATTATTCTCGGTCGCGGACGATATCCCAACTCGCAGATGTACTGTGGTGTTTGACAGGATACGCCTCCTGATCGACTGTGGATGTCCACTACCACTTGAAGCGATATTCCGCGTAATGTTGGCGCTGTCGCGGGACAGATTTTGTTTCACAGCGATGACGGCGAACGAATCATAAGTACGGTGACGAAGGAAATAAATAATTATATGATTTAGCCGTTTAAGCGACGATGAAGGGTGGGAAGAGCAATCGCGTTAAATTAGCCTCTAAGCGAGATTCTTCTCTCCACAGCGGAAAGTGTCAATAAAGGAGGAAGTTGTGATTTTTGACAGAGCCAATTTCACAGTGAAGTTGCATGAAGACGAACGAACGTGCGAGTAATACGTCAAAAGAGGGAGAAAGAAATAAAGCAGAGGGGGAGGAAGTAAAAAGTGGAAAATTGGAGGCCACAGCGCGAAGAAATTCCTAGTTCCGTTGTACGGAAAAGAGTGAGTATATCGATAACATTGATCGATAATTATCATGCGCTCGTGCACGCACGCTTTATTAGCACATTTACGTTCCCTTCGCGCGAATCGATAACACTATGATTTACATATTTTCCGATAACGCCGCATACTTCAACATGGCGTTAGAGCTGTAATCGCATGTAATTATCCTGCACGCGTATAACAAGCTCCGCGAACTGCTACCTGATTCAGAATTTTAATGCTTTTAATTTACTCCCGATTTAAGGTAGCGTTTCGACACGTTAATTTTACAGCGAGCGAGCGATTATTCGTCAGTATATAGATCCGATGAGAACTACGCGTACATCTCGTGCTAGTTAAACCCATAGGCGTGAATATTTTATTACGCTGCGGACTTACCTGCTTTCAAATACACTCTGTTGCATATATAATTATAACATTCTAGTTATATTGTTATATTTTACTTTATTCGGAATAATCTATGTGCAATGAGAAGATTGAATGATGAGCTCTATGTGCGAATATCTATTTCGTCAAAATTATAACTTAATAGTGATATTTACTCGTATTACTATTAACAATGGAATATTCGTCAATTGAGGAATAAAATGCGTAACAACGCGTGTTCGCCATTCTACAATATGGCGTAAAGTAAACTGAGTAATCATTTTACTTAGCAATAGAATAATATTTTTCTGTGTGTGGGAGAATAAGTTCGTATACTCGCGATTTTATCTCATCCTGATTTTCATTACACATCTCTTTTAGGGCCACCGCACAAGCATTTTCCGTAATGCATACGTAACGTAATGCATTACGGAAAAGCTTGTGCGGTGGCCCTTATCCGTGAAAATATTTTAGTGCGGAAACGTAAGACGCGATATCCCGTATAATATCCCGTGATTTGCATTTTCACGCTTGCGGCCGTCTCCACATTAGAGAGAAGAAACACTTTTCTATCTGCATTAATAAACGAGATTTGTGAGAGCCATTCGTTTCGGCGGGAACGGAGCGTATAATAACCGCTTGCACACAATATCGCGATTCAGATTGAATTTATTCATCGCGTGTGTAACCGTTGTGCAATTGTTTATTTATGTACTTAGGGTAGATGCATCGGTGGATAACCGGTTGACAGGGATATTGTTAAATTAAATAATAAATTTCAAGTGATCAATTATTTCGCGGCTTTCCGCTAACATTAACGCTATACCGTAACTGTGTTCTCGGATGATTAGATGGGAATTATTCTATATGGCTTTTATTCGCGCGCGCGCTCGCGGAAAGAGATGGGATATCAGATAAATGTCTATATTATAATACGGTCGTTATATATATACATACGTGATGCGCGGGCTTGCAGGATGTCACGCTATGCCACCACGTAAGGTGAAAACGGGTCAAGAGGATCCCCGTCATAAGAAAGTTAATACCGCATATGTCGCAGCTTGCTGAGAGTGTCGGCAAGAACAGGCCACTTTTAAATGATAAATTACTTCTAATGGCGTCAGTTTGCTGGCTGGCGCGAACTTTGATGAGTTTTTATCCGCCGCGCGGCATCTACCCCTTGAGGAAGGGACGGGAAGGGGAGGGAGTTTCGCGTCTTACGCGCGCCCTTAATCCCGACAAGTTTAATCTTTGTGACGCTCAATTTTTGCCGCGTCCAATCTCTGTAACCGATATGACTGGGCTTAGATGGAGAAATTCATTTAACGATATACGCGCGCGGATAACAATTCGGTACGTTTGTTACGATACAATGTTACGTTTCAGCAAAACGTCCCAGATGTAACTTTAATTTAAAGGTCTTCCCACTGATATTAACGGCTTTCTCAACAATGAATTGTCATTCGTGTTTCCTTTACGAATGAATCCCGTCGCGTACACTACAGGATTCCCTTAAGCTGATTTACATCCAAGTAGCTTAATTGGAGAAGCGGGGGAGCCGTTACTAGTTTCTATCATTCTGTACTAAATTCCAATCAACGTCGCGATGGCACTCTCACAGTTGCTCACCTTTTGATTTCAATCACTGTCTTACCTTTGATAATGGAAGAAATTATTTCGTAGAGTAAACTTCCCATTTTACATTCCGCAACGACGCGCTCGTATATTAACGCGTCGATATGTATCGTTGATATTTTGCTAAACACGATATACGTGTCACGGTATGGCTTGCGGCGATATCCGCACTTTAACGTTCCGGGCGATTATAGTAATTGTATCGCGACGTTATCGATAGAAGTGTCTACGACAGGAAATTACAATTCTCGAAATGACAAATATCAACAAAATTAATCCGCTCTATTCGATTTAATTAAGACGATCGATTAATTACGGCTGACGTTGAGTAAAAATCTTAATGGATGAAAAAAAGATTTATGATAACGATAACGAAATAATTGCAGTGAGATATTAACGTATGACTGAAGTAATATAAATTGTTTCTTTTTAGCACTTTTTAGCATAAATATATATTGTGGCACAGCCTCGTTGCATTCCGCGAAAGTTCGAAATAAATAGCAAGTAGAGCGCGAGAGAAATAAATGGCATTAAGATAACTAATTAAATATTTTATGGCGGAGTAATAACAACTTTACCAGTAAATCTTGCGGGAAGAGAAATCTCATGGTTTGTGAGATAGAGCTTGTGTTACAAGACTGTGTAATATAAATTGTAAAGTGCGCGAAGCTATCTCTCGGGCGGCACTTGGCGCCAGAAGGTTACAGTTACGAAACACTCGAGAGAAATCTTCATCTGTACCTGGTTCTTCTAGTATCTGTTATCGTCCATTTAATTGTACAATTTTGATTTTCCTATAATCTGCCTCTCTCTCTCTTTCCCCTCCCCATTCGCTTTGTTTCTCCTCCTTCTACCTCAAACACTTGGAATATGCACGGATGATTTTATAAACGAGGATTTAATATTCAAATTTGTTGGAATTGTATACTCGAACAATACGACTTTTCCAATATTTATAACTCCAACGATCTCGCAACGGATATTCCGCAAAAATCCTACCTCTCGCGCTAAGAGAGGCTTATTACCTTAGTACCGTCGATTTATTCGCTAGGAAATATGTACATGATCTTCGTCTCTGGTTATCTCTTCTTCCGCGTGGCCGTAATGTGGGGCCGAAGCTGGATGTAAGCCGCATTGCCGGCGACAGCTTGATCGCTCCTTAAATTACTTTCCACGCCCGCGAGCATTGCTCATGGCTGCGAAACGTTTATACTTGTCTTCTCTACCGTCCTAGAAGACGCAATCCGCGCATTCGTTTAACTCGCTTGGCGTGTTTACTGCATCGCGAGATTATATTTTGCTTTATAACGGTGTAACTGCAACGAATGTTTAATGGAGTGGCACAATAGAGGGGATGTGTACGCGCCTATGCGTTTGACTTACGATTTTGTTCTAGAGGGAGGAAGAGCTCTTCCTCCTCCGCTTCTTCATCATCCTCATTCTCTTCGTCGTTGCCCTTACTTCATATATTCTGTATTCTACATCGCGCCACGCGTTGCACAAGCGCTAAGCAAGTTCTCTCTCACTGCAAGTAACGTCTCCTTATCCTCGATATGCTCGTAAGTTGCCGCGAAATGTCGTCTTGGGGCGAAAGTTCGCAGTCGCCGTAATTGAACCGCCATATCGCGCGCAGTTATCGACCACGGATCCAAGATTACTACGTTATACCTTTGAGAGTGATTTCTCGCGGATGTCGGGTACAGTCGTTGCCATTTGCGTTGGTATTCGTGTGTCTACTTGTGTTTCAGAAAATCGTCGGGCTCGAGATGCAGAGTTAGGAGATGATACTGTAATGACGCGAGATAATGAAGCGCGACAAGCGACGCATATTATTGAGAACATTTTCCATGGAATAATCGATGGTACGTGTGTTGTCAAAAATATAATTTGGAAAAAAGTATGATTTTACGCTTTCGCGCCTGTAAAGGACCGTTCCACTTTTTTTCAGATCATTTGTTCATAATCATTGGATTAATGTAATCCGTGGTATTTTCTGTTTTAATATTTGAATTTGGAATTGATTGCATTCTATTATTTGATAATATAGTTCCAACGCAAAATCTTGTTATCATTGTTGAAGTAACTGTACACGCGTAGGTAATCAGCTGCATCTTCCCGATAATTCTTGTTCTATTGCTTGCTTCTTCAATAGCATCTCGAGTTTTCGCTCGAAATTCTGCGTTTCTCGATAGAAATCATTGCGTCGATCGATATATTGACTGTAGGAGCCGTTCCGAATAGCTTATTCCCATCGTACCGATTCGATTATGTTCGTTCTCGAAGGGATCGTAAGACGAGCCCTTCGACGTTCTTCCGAATGGTCGTTCTAAAAAGATCAGGAAGTATTTTAGAATGCGTCGCAATCAACTCCTGATTTCTAGTAGTTTAATGTTATTAGGTCTAGAGTTGTCGGTGCTGTCGATGTTTGAAGGAAAGTATAGTAATGGAAAAGAATTCTTGCTTTCGTTGCATCCTGGTGCCTGTATAGCTGCCGTATTTTACATTGAATACTCTTGTAATTGAATTATTTTGCCATATATCACAGATAAGAATTTCATAATTTAAAACTTTATCCCGGAAACATGATAGAACACGTTTTACATTCGCGTACAACTTCGCAGAGAAATAATCCGTTATCAATCATTGTTACACAACACAGTTTTAATATTAAAAATTAATAATTTGATTTTAAATTTGATTTTAAACTCTTTACGAAGAAAAATCCGAAATAAATCCGTAGAAAGAGAACAGCAAAAATGGTGGAAAAATCTCTATAAAAATCGCGTTGGATGAAAAAGCTTATTACCAGGTACATTTTATGCTCGATTTCTTATATCATGGAAACTTTACACAAGAAGTTGAAAAAGGGAGTATATATTAGCAATGTCCTTGGTTGTATTACATTCGCGCTCATACAAAAGCGCGAGTTGACTCCCTCGTTACACTGGTAAAGCCATTAAATTTACATAAAAATGTGCCCCCTTGAGATCCGGCCA